TGGAATCCTATAGGATCCGTATGGGGTCATTTAGAAATCCCTATGGCATCCTGTGGGATCCCGGTGGAATCCTATAGGAGTCCGATAGGATCCCTATGGTGGCCGTGGCTCTGAGCACAGCCGGAAGCACTTCCCCGTGGGAATCCTTAGGGGATCCTTCGGAAACCCTAGAGAATCATAAGGAATCCATTGGAAATCCCGAGGGATACCGAGGGAATCCACCTCTCGAGGATCGTGGTCCTGGCCCCACAGGGAGCACCACCAAAGCTTCATTTCGGCACAACCCTCTCGAGGATCGTGGTCCTGGCGCCACAGCGAAGGTCACTGAAGCCTTATTTCGGCACACCCCTCTCGAGGATCGTGGCCCTGGCCCCACAGGGAGCTCCACTGAAGCCTTATTTCGGCACACCCCTCTCGAGGATCGTGGCCCTGGCCCCACAACAAGCTCCACCGAAGCTTCATTTCGGCACAAGCCTCTCGAGGATCGTTGTCCTGGCGCCACAGGGAGCTCGACCGAAGCCTCATTTCGGCACACCCCTCTTGAGGATCGTTGTCCTGGCCCCACAAGGAGCTCCACCGAAGCCTTATTTCGGCACACCACTCTCGAGGATCGTGGCCCTGGCCCCACAAGAAGCTCCACCGAAGCTTCATTTCGGTACAAGCCTCTCGAGGATCGTTGTCCTGGCGCCACAGGGAGCTCCACCGAAGCCCATTTCGGCACACCCCTCGTGAGGATCGTGGTCCTGGCCCCACAAGGAGCTCCACCGAAGCTGCATTTCGGCACACCCCTCTCGAGGATCGTGGTCCTGGCCCCACTGGGCGCTCCACCGAAGCTTCATTTCGGCATACCCCTCTCGAGGATGGGGGGCAGCAGAAGGAGGAGGAGGAGGAGGATGAACAGGAGGGGGAGGTGGAGGAGGAGGAGGCGGATGAGGCTACTGCTACTGCGACTGCTACTACTACTACTACTACTACTACTACTACTACCACTGCGACTACTACTACTACTACTACTACTACTACTACTACTACTACTACTACTACTACTACTACTACTACGACTACGACTACTACTACTACTACTACTACTACTACTACTACTACTACTTACTACTACTACTACTGCTACTACTACTACTACTACTACTACTACTACTACTACTACTTCTACTACTACTACTGCTACTACTACTACTACTATTACTACTACTACTACTACTACTACTATTACTATTACTACTACTACTACTGCTACTACTATTACTACTATTACTATTACTAGTACTGCTCATACTACCAGTAGAACTCGTACTACTACTTCCTCTACTACTATAGTACTCCTACCACTCCTACTACAACTACTACTCCTACCACTCCTACTCCAACTAGTCGTACTACTACTGCCACTACTGCTACGACTACGACTACTACTACTACTACTACTACTACTACGATTATTATTACTAATACAATTCTTGTTTACTACTACTACTACTACTACTACTCCTCTTACTACTACTGCTACTGATACAGGCCGTGTGGGCTGTGGTATAGGATCCCATTCATGACGTGTAGGCTCGGTGTAGGATCCCGTACAGGCCGTGTAGGTTCTGTACAGGATCCCACACAAGGCGTGTAGGCTCTGTACAGGATGCCGTGCAGGGCGTGTAGGCCCAGGGCGTGTAGGCTCAGGGCGTGTAGGCTCTGTATGGGGCCCCAAGCAGGCCGTGTAGGCTTTGTACTTGGCCCCATGTAGGGCGTGTAGTTTCTGCATAGGATCCCACACAGGCCGTGTAGGCTCTGTATAGGATCCCGCACAAGCCGTGCAGGCTCTGTATACGATCCCATACAGGGTTCGTAGGCTCTGTATAGGAGTCCATACAGGGCGTGTAGGCTCTGTATAGGATCCTGCACATTGCGTGTAGACTCTGTATAGGATTCCGTGCAGGCGGTCTAGGTTTTGCATAGGATCCCATACATGGCGTGTAGGCTCTGTATAGGGCCCCGTACAGGCCGTGTAGGCTCTGTATAGGATCCCGCACGGGCCGTGTAGGATCTGTACATGATCCCAAGCAGGCCGTGTATGTTTGGTATCGGATCCCATACAGGGGGTGTAGGCTCTGTATAGGATCCCGTACAGGGCGTGCAGGTTTTGTATAGGGTCCCACACAGGCCGTGTAGGCTTTGTTTCTGATCCCAAACGGAGCGTGTAGGCTCTGTGTAGGATCACATACAGGTCGTGTAGGCTGTGCGTAGGATCCCATACAGGGCTTGTAGGCCCCGTATCGGATCCCATACAAACCGTGTAGGCTCTGAATCGGATCCCGTGCAGGCCGTGCAGGTTTTGTATAGGACCCCATACAGGCCGTCTAGGCTCTGTATAGGATCCCACACAGGGCGTGTAGGCTTTGCCTCGGATCCCATACAGGCCGTGTAGACTTTGTATAGGATCCCATGCAGGGCGCGTCGGCTCTTTATAAGATCCCGTACAGGCCGTGTATGCTGTGTATACGATCCCAAACAGGCCGTGTATGCTCTGTATGGGATCCCATACAGGGCGTGTAGGCTTTGTATAGGAGTCCATACAGGCCGTGTAGGCTCTGAATTGGATCTCGCACAGGGCGTGTAGGCTCTCTATAGGGTCCCATACAGGCCGTGTAGGCTCTGTATAGGATCCCACATAGGGCGTGTAGGCTCTGTATAGGATCCCGTACAGGCCTCGTAGGCTCTGTATAGGGTCCCATACGGGGCGTGTAGGCTCTGTATAGGGTCCCACACAGGCCGTGTAGGCTTTGTATCTGATCCCAAACGGGGCGTGTAGGCTCTGTGTAGGATCCCGTACAGGCCGTGTATGTTCTGTATGGGATCCCATACAGGGCGTGTAGGCTCTGTATAGGATCCCACACAAGGCGTGTCGGCTCTGTGTAGGATCCTAGGAATCCCCAGGGATTCCCTCGAGATTCCCTAAGGATTCCTAGGATTCCGCATGGGTTCCGAAGGATGCCCGAAGATCGCTTCGCTGGTGCGCACATCTTTTCCAGTCGCAGGAATACGTGGAGGTGCGTAAGGGTGGTCTAAGAGCCACGGTGACCATAGGGATCCGGTGGGATTCCATAGGGATCCTATAGGATTCCGTAGAGATCCTGTATGATTCCGTAGGGATTCTATGGAACTGGTGTTGGTGTTGGTGTTGGTGTTGGTGTTGGTGTTGGGGGGGGGGTATTGGGTCCACGGGTCGTCAGTCCACATGTTCGCCCAGTGGGTGAAGGCGTGGACTGTCGGGCCGTGGGCGGGCGGGCCGTGCACGTGTCGACCTTGTTGTTGTTGTTGTTGTTGTTGTTGTTGTTGTTGTTGTTGTTGTTGTTGTTGTTGTTGTTGTTACTGTCGTTGCTTTTGTTGTTGCTGTTGGTCTTGAATTCTTACGATTGAAGAATAATTTTTGTTGATCCCCCCCGTCCGGTGCACATTGTATTTTTCAATTGAAGGCCCCTCCCGGCGCTCGCATCCTGTTTTTTATCAGGGAAGGTCTTCATCCTCAAACTGCGCCCCTGGCCACCAGAGTACTGCAACAACGGATCCCGCCGGAGATTTCCTCACAATTTTGTTAGGACCCCCGCTCCCGCCTGATAGTACTTGCATTTGTTTCAGGAATCTCGCTCTCGCTTGGGATTCCCTTACATTTTTTCAGAAATCGTTGTGTCGGCGCTCTGGAATCGCGCTCTCGCTGGAGACTCGCTTGCAATTTACCAAAGAATAGCGCCCTTGCGTTGGAATTTCCCGCAATTTACTCAAGCGCCGCGCTCCCGACACTCAGACACCCAGGAATCGAACTCACGCTTAGGACTCCCCCACATATTATTTAGAAATCGGGATTTCGCTGCCCGTCGCGGCCCCGTTGCAGTTTTTCGTGGCCCCCTCGCTGCCCTTCGTGGACCCGTTGCAGCCCTTCGTGGCCCCTTGATTGCCCGTCGTGGCCCCGTTGCAGCCCTTTTTGGCCCCCTCGCTGCCCTTCGTGGCCGCGTTGCAGCCTTTCGTGGCCCCCACACTGCCTTACGTGGCCCCGTTGCAGCCCTTCATGGCCCCCTCGCTGCCCTACGTGGCCGCGTTGCAGCCTTTCGTGGCCCCCTCACTGCTCTTCGTGGCCCCGTTGCAGCCTTTCGTGGCGCCCTCGCTGTCCGTCGCGGCCCCGTTGCAGCCCTTCGTGGCCCCCTCGTTGCCTTGGCCCCGTTGCAGGGCACCGTTGTAGCCCTTCGTGGCCCTCTCGCTGCCGTTCGTGGCCCCATATCTGTATCGTGGCCCCGCTTGTTCGCGCCCGTCGTGGCCCCAGCATGCCTTTCGTGGCCCCGCTGTCGCCCTTCGTGGCCCCCTCGCTGTCCTTCGTGGCTCCTCAGTCGCCCTTGGTGGCCCGTCGCTGTCCTGCGTGGCCCAATTGCTACCCTCAGTGGCCCCGTCGTTGCCTTTTGTGGCCTTGTATTATCTGCCCTTCGTGGCCCCCGCTCGTTCGCGATCTTCGTGGCCCCATACCTTTCGTGTCCCCGCTGTCGCCCTTCGTGTCTTACTTCGTGCCCTTCGTGGCCCTGCTGTCGTTTTCTCTCTCGCTCTCGCTTTCGCTCGTCGTCGTCGTCGTCGTCGCCGTCGTCGTTGTCGTCGTCGTCGGCGTCGTCGTCGTCGTGGTCGGTTCCCTGTCCGTCCCTCTTGGGGTCGGGTTGCCACCGATCAGCGCTGCCGCTGGCCAGGTCGACGGTCCGCAGCCGCCCCGCCGCTTGCCTGGGCCTGGCCTGTTAGGGAAGATGAGTAGTTATCGGCACGGTTGTAACATAACATTCAGAGACCGAAGGACGCCGCATCCTGGAGACATCAGGTGAAACCTGAGGGCGAGATCCGTAGATCTCTCTTTGTTGTTCAAGGGTTTCTTTGAAGAGGGCAGCCCCTCAGATGCTCCCCCCTCGCCGGCTGCGTGTGCCCACCACGCTCGCGCACAGCAGAGGATCCCATCTGGCATGGAGGAGGAGGCCGACGACGGCGAGGCAGTAAAACCCCCGCCGGGTGCTCGTGCCGACGACGGCGAGGATGCTGCCGACCAGGTCGAGGTCGGCCTCTTCTACCGCTGCGCTGCCTACAACGACCACGACAGGCCGCAAGGTGAGTATGCGATGCGGGTGGACTGCGTGTGCACGGCAACGAGTTGGGGCCAGTTTGCGCGGGCCACGCAGATATGCTGCAGTGACGAGTACTGGGCATGGTGGATGGCACACCCTGTCGAGCGTGGAGGTGCGGGCCGAGTCTTGTACCATGTCTGTGCGCACGAGATGTGCGGTGCCAGACCGCCTGCGTCCGCGGCCACGTGCATCCATGTCTCCGAGTTCGAGGAGATCAACGTCAGGGGGCTCGCAGAGTTCTTCGTGGAGTGCAGGGCCAGCGATCCATGGTGCGCCTGGCCCGCTGACCTCGGGCCTGCGCCTGGTGAGGATGATGTGGGTGGTGGTGCCCTGGAGGTCGACGAGCGCGGCATGCCGAAGGGCGACTGCGTGGGGCGCGCTGAGCGGCGGGCTGCCGCCAGGCCGAAGGGCGCGGCGCGCCCCTCTGACCCGAGGCGGGCGGCGGCCCATCAGCCCTCGCCGCTGGAGGCTGCGGGGGCGCAGCTGGCGGCAGGCGAGCCTGCGGCGGCCGGCGCTGTCGGCCTGCGCGCCCGCCTGGAGCGGCTGCGTGGCGCGCTGCAGCCTGGGCCAGGCGTGGGGCCGACGGCCGAGGCTGCCAGGGCGGGGGCCGCCGCGCCTGCAGCCCCCCCCCGTGGTGCAGCGAAGCGGCCGCTCGAGGATGTCGTTCAGGAGCGCGCCTACAAGAGGGGGGCCCCTGAGAGGGCGTCGGGCCCAGCGAGCTCGGCGGCTGCTGCGACTGGCCAGAGGTGGCGAGAGTGCCCTACGTCCGCTGCTTCTCGAGGCGGTCGCCAACAGGGGTACCGCCGCCGACCTCCTGCAGTCGATGCTCAACGCCTCCAGCGGAGGCGGCGAGGGCGCCGTGCCGCGGGGCCTCGCTGCGCGACGTGGCCACTTTCGCCAGATTGCTATTAAGTTCCCAGGGCTCCTCTCAGAGCAAGCCCTTGCTAAGATGAGCGAGTGCGTCGCTACTCAGGTGGGGGGAGAGACTTCCGACGAGTTCCCGACGATCTTTCTCAAGTACTTCCTGAATGTGTTCATGTTTCAGAAGCCGAACAAGTCGATCGGGATCGAGGTCTACCGCGAGATGCGCGCGGTCCGTGAGGCCGCAGACGCCATCTTGTTGGGTAAGACGTCCTACGCTGTCGACGTGCTGAGCCAGCGTTTCAAGGCCCTCCAGCTGTTTGCGATAGACAAGACGTGGTCAGGATTGCACTGGCTGGAGCTCATCCCGCCGTCGACCGAGCAGCTGGCCCTCAGGGCGGAGGATGGGGAGATCGTCCGCGCCGTGGAGCTCGGAGAGCTACGCCTCGAGGAGCTCCTGGCCGAGCTCGAGAAGGGCTAGGGGCTCGGCCGGGAACGGGGGCCGCCGAGGAGCACCTCCACTCCTGTAGGCCACTCTGGCGGGAGTCGGGGCCAGGGGCCGCGGCTGCGGCCTGGCGCTCGGGCGCCCGCGGACCTCGTCAAGGACCGCCCGCTGCCACCTGGGGCCGCCCAAGCTCCGAGTCGCCCAGCTCCAGGACAGCAGCGGGCTGTGCAGCTTCGGGGCGACGACCAGAAGGGGGGGGCGCCCATGGCGAACTCCTGGAAGGCTGCCAAGGAGCCCCACCCGAAGAGGCAGGGCGAGACTCGGGGCGCTTGCGGCATGCGGCTCAGGAAGCTCATGCAGGAGGCGCGCGGGCGTCAGGGCCGCCCCCCGCGATAGGCCAGGCGCCGGCGGCGAGCGCTGACGTGGGCGCCCGCTGGTCAGAGCCCTTGCCCCCTGTGCTGAATTGACCCACTGGCGAGCAGCTGTTGCAAGAGCTGCGCCCGGCGCCCCGCGCTTGCTGGACCTCGGCGTCGCCGTCGTCACTCCGCGCTGGCAGCGCCCTGGTCGACTTGGAAAGTTTCGCGGAGAGTTTCGTCCGCACCTTCCCGCGACTGGGGGGCCGCAGGTAAGGTCGCTCGACTTATTGCCGATGGCCCTTCCCGACCTCTCGCTCGCGCGAGCGCGGGTCGCGTCGCGGGGCGAACCGTGGGCGGGGGGGCGACGGCGGTTCCGTGTTGAGGGGCGCCTGGTCGCCCGAGAGATATGGACTCACTGAGCGGTGCTGTCAATGAATTTTGAATGCGTCGGCAGAGGTGTCCCCGAGGCTCTGGGGGCGCCCCCCCGGACTACATCGCCCGCGTCGGTGGCTTCCTGGGGGGCCCGCTTGTGCGCCAACCGAGCATCGACTGGTCCACGAAGGTCGCCAAGCTCCGGGTTGACTGCGCTGGAGAGGAGCAGGGCGAGGCCCTGCCGACGCGCCTTGCGAAGCTCATACCGGGGCTGCCCGACAGGCAGCGCGCGGTACAGCACCAGACGGAGGAGTTCGTCGACGACCACATCCTCGAGTGGCTCCTGGACCCCGCAGTCGTCACCCTGCCGTCCTCGGAGTGGCCCACTGATCCACCGCGGGCACGGGTCAACTGCGAGAAGCTCGAGGAAAGGTACGAGGTGGCTGAACACCTTCTGGGCCTGGGCATCCTAGGGGTGGTGTGCGAGGAGGACATCTTCGCGCCCCGCGGCCAGAAGGTCCTCAACGGCCTGTTCGCCCGCGAGAGGAAGGGGGGCCGCTCGAGGGTCAGCTGCGCTGCGCGCGCCTGGTCTTCAACATCGTACCCTCCAACGCCTACCGTCGGAACGTCGTGGAGGACGCGGCCACCCTCGCAGCTTCCGCATCTTGGACCAGCATTCACTTGCCAGCGGGGTGCGTCATGGTGTGGAGCAGCGGCGATCAGAAGGGTGCCTTCTACGTGTGGAAGCTGCCTCCAGCCTGGAGGGGCAGGATGGCCGTTTCGGTGCCGGTGTCCGCCGGTGTCGCTGGGCTGCCAGGCGACCGCCTTGTCTGTGTCGCGTTCCGAGTCATCCCTATGGGATGGATCCTTGCAGTCACGCTGTTCCAGCACCTCCACCGCCGCCTGGCACTCAGAGCTCCCCGCCTAGGTGCTGGCCTCCCCGCGGCGGCGGAGTGGAGACGTGACCGACCCTGGCCTCTGGCAAGGCATCGATCGCACGCATGGTGTCAGGTCTACATCGACGATTTTGACGCCCCCGAGGTGATGCAGGCCGCCGAGGCTTACCGCACAGTGGGCGCGCCAGGAGAAATGCAGCTCGCCCTGCGCCGGGCATGCGCCAGAGCAGAGGTTGCCTACGCGGAGAACAAGAGCCACGAGAGGCAGCTGCAGCTTGAGCGGATGGGCGCCCCCCTTGATGGTGAGGCTGGCACGGCCAGGGCGCCGATCCACAAGACAGTCGAGCTCGTGAGGTGCACCCTCTACGCGCTCGGCCGCGACTGCTGCCCCTGGCTCCTCATGCTCGCGCTGCTGGGACGGGCTGTCAGAGTGCTCGAGTTCAGACGCCCCCTCCTCAAGTGTCTCAATTCGGTCTGGGAGTTCTCGGCCAAGACGCGGGGGGGGGGGCGCATGAACACAGGCATGTTTCAGGAGCTGCTGATGTGCATCGGCTACCTCCCCATCGCCTGTGCCGACCTGAGGGCCGCGCTGTCGCCTGTCACCGCCGTCTCCGACGCCTCGGAGAGCGGCGGTGGGGCATGCGCTTCCACGGACCTGACCCCGCGTTCGGTCGGGCAGCTGGAGGCGGCGCGCTCTGGCGCCAGGTCGAGCATGAGAGCTGCCCAAGACAGCTTGGTGCCCGAGCCCAGTGCGGGCCCTGCCGCGCGGCGTCCCGCTCGTCCCAGGGTGCTGATCGTGAGCCTCTTCGACGGCATCGCGGCGCTGGCGGTCGGCGGTGTCCAGGCTTCCCGTCGACATCATCGGGGTGGTCTGCAGCGAGGCGAGATCGACGAGCCCGCTAGACGAGTGGTGCGGCTTCGGTGGCTTGGGACCGCCGACTGGGGCGACATCAGGTCCATCGCCGAGTCCGACGTGGTGGAGCTCGCCGACGCGTACTACAGCTTGTGCGACGTCTGCCTATGTGGCGCTGGTAGCACTGCCAGGGTCTTAGCGGAGTCAACCTGGCAATGGCAGGTCTTGCTGGACCCCGCTCGGGACTCTTCTACGAGGTCCCGAGGGTGTACGAGCTTCTGCGCAGGCACTTCAAGGACAAGTTCGCCTCCTTCGTCGAGAACGTTGCATCGATGGGCTCGGGCGACAGGGGCGAGATCACGAGGCAGCTGGGCGTCGTGCCTGTCAGGCTATGCTCCTCCATCTTTGCTCCTGCACGGCGGCCGCGGCACTGCTGGTGCAGCTGGCCCTTGGAGCCGCGAGGGGAGTTCACAGTGGGCGGCCCTCGCGAGGGCAACGGCGGCTTCCGAGAGGTGAGACGCATCCGTGGCTCGCCTGCCCCGCTCGACTGGGTCACCGCGGGCTGGACCTGGGGGGTGGAGACGGGCCTGTCCCCGCGCTCATGTGCCCGCGCCCTGCGGCAAGTAGGCCCAGTATGTCAGCAGGTATTCGCACTGCCACCGAGGGCGCGAGAAGGAGGTGGGCCCTTGACAATCATCGATATCATCAGGGCTGGTGCGAGGAGAGTAGCATGCTTCGGAGTAACAAGGATGGGACACTTCGTGCACCAGACCCCGAAGAGAGAGAGGCCCTCCTGGGATTTGACAGACACCACACTAGAGTCGCCCACAAGGACCCCGAGGCCCTCGGTGTTGCCGACACGAGGAACTTCCTCCTGGGCAGCTCATACTCGGTCTACTCCGTCACCTGGCTTGTTCAACACCTTTTTCTGGCTCGAGGACTTCTCGGCCAGGGGCTCCCCGCGGAGGCCCTGCTCGCGCGGGGAATCTGCCCGCTGTCCTGCGGCGAGGTCGGCGCGTGCACGAAGGGCGCCGTCGAGCACAACAGGAAGCTCGCAG